TCGCGCTGACTCCTCTGGTCTTGCTGGCACTTCCTCCCGGTGTCTGCATGCGGGTGCACGCGTTCATAGACTTGCCTTGTGTGTCTCCTCGTCTCCCGGCCGAAAATGTGATCTGCGCATGCGTCCGCCCCAAGATCCTTTGCGGCCGCCCGAGAGTTTTCACATTTTTGGACGGGAGCGTGCGGGGAAGACACTGGTAAGTATTATCCCTTTTCAGATAGGTCTTTTTTTTTTTTTTTACAAAATGTTTGCATAAATCTCCTTCTTGCTAGCAGGAGATATATGCAAAAACACCGGAGGCTTTAATTATCCTTTTAAGAAGAACTCCAGGCATTTTAAAAACTTTCCCTAAGATTGGGGCTGCCCCCTGCACTGCAAGCATAATGGTTTAGTGATTGCTGTATGTACCGTGTTTCCCTGAAAATTTTTCCCCTTTTTTTATATGTGGCTTTTATTTTTATTTTTTTATGTGTTACTTTTCTCTTTTTATTTATATTTTTTTTTTTTGCACTTATTGTTATTGCTATTATATAGGGGGATAACAACCCCCTATATAATAGCAAAGGCACACTGACAGGTCCTCTTTATGGAGATATTAGGGGTCTCTAGGACCCCTAATATCACCTATGGACCCCAAAAGAAGCTGATAAAGCAGAGATCTGCCGGGTTGGCGGTGCCGCGAACGAGCACATATAGGCGATCGATGTGTGACACCCGGTACCGGGTGTGTGCATTGTCGGGTCTTTTCTGCCCGTGCGTGCCCGCTAGGGGGCGCGCGCGAGCAGAAAAAAATTGCCGTCTAGAGACGGCAACCCGCAGATGCAGCAGTGCCGTCCGTCCGTTTTTGTTTTTCTACTACGGGCGGACGGCAAGAGGTTAAATAGTCCAAAATGGCAAAGTTAAGAATAAGGGTGATCAGGGCAATCAGAGGTGCCGTACCTTTCCAAGAGCAATTTGGTAACCAATCGCTTGCCAGAATGAGCGAAGTGAGCTTTCACTATCGATTCCTCACAGGCGGAGTACATTTGATATCGCTCTACCTGTGACGGAAGCCGACGCTATAGAGGAAGCATCGGCTTATGCGGCTTTGCTCCCTCCGCTGCCGCCTTGCTTCCTCTAGCGCTGGCTTTGTTGGCACCGCCGATTCTCTCCCGCCTTTCCCGCGGCTCTTCAAGTTTCCCCTTATGCCACCACCGGCCCTGGGAAAGGTCACAACTAGGTCTTATTTTCAGGGTAGGTCTTCTTCTATTTTAGCAATTCCCAAAAATAGTACTAGGTCTTATTATCGGGGTAGGTCTTATTTTCGGGGAAACATGGTATGTATAAACAAGACGTATCAATGCCAACACAAATAAAACCACCTAAGCAAGAGATCTTTGGTTTTTGGGGGGCGCACACAACTTTTTTGCAGTGATATTATTTATATCAAAAAGTACTGTAGAAAGGTGACATATTCAGTAAATATAGTATCTGGTTTCCTTATGTGTGCTAGATTTGGCCATGTGATTATATAACTACCTGTACAAACAGTTCTTTATTGGTTGCATACCTTAACTCTTGCATGGCTTTATACAGTGAAGTTATCTCCGGGTTGTGTTTCAAGTATCGCGGCTTGCTATTATAGTGAAAGAAATTATTTGAATGTTGATTCTAACATTTTAAGGTAGCAGCAGTTTTCCAAGATATTGATGTTGCCACTGCACATTTATTTTTGAAACCCACAAAAAGTTAAGCAGCATGCTATTTCTAGGGGTAGTTCCCAAAACCTGTCTGGGAAACACTTAAATACAAAGCTGAATATTCCCACTTTATAAATGAACCTCTTTGTGACATAGGGGAGGGTGGGGGCGGATTGTAGTAAGTGGAAACTAAACAAACATTGTCACATGACACATATTCTGCCAAAACCAGCTGTTCTATCTTTCTTTCTTTTTTCTTTTTTTCCCCATCCTGTGGAGTCGAGGATTTAAATTACACTCTTAATTTTTTTTTTAAAGGTCATTGGATTTTTATGTTGCTGCTCCAATATGATAAATTGTCTCCATGTTCATGTCTAGTGTAAAAAAAAAAAGTATGTGTATCCTACAGAAGTTCTTACAGCTGTTATCCAGAGTAGACCAGGACCCAGAAAACCTCTCTTTAGCAACTTATTTTACCTAGAATCAATCAGGGTGTGCTAAAACATGGTAATAAAACTCTAATAAACCTTTAAACCCCGTTCACACAGCAGTTTATCGCGCGATTTCCGCTGCGAAATCGCACATGTTTCCGTGCGATATCGCTCTATGTAGCTTGTCCAATGCATTTCAATGGAGCTGTTCACATCTCACAGCTCAAATGTCGTCTGTAGCTCGTCACTCGTACATGACCCTTTGTTTCCGCGGATGTGGCGCGATTTGGCTTCAATAGACTCTATGGTGTCACGGAAAATCGGCGATATTGCATGACTTTGTCACGCGATACAGAAGGGTCACTTTTGCACTGCAAAATGGAAGGAAAGAATGATGTTGCATCAAGATCTCTGTTGATTGGTTACAGCCCAATGTAGCAGCGACGAAGTCCAGCCCAAAAAACACGCTATGTAGCGCGATAAAATGTGCACTGTCACTCAAAGCTGCTCAGCACGAAATTGCGTGGAAAAACGCGCAATATCCATGTCCCTCAGTGTGTATTGGATCTTAAAAGTATCAGCGTATACTACCAATTAATAACAAAAGAGAAAGTGTTTCATGGTCCAGTTCATCTTTATCAGTGATGATCTCAAATTTTTTACATTGCTTTATCTCTGTAAATAAGTTTTTCACAATTGCCTGAATGCAAGGTAGAAGAAACATAATGACCGTAATTCAATCTTTCTACCATAATCATTAGAAAATATGTTGTGCAAACAGTGCAGTAGTTAAAACCACTCAGATCCTTCGTTATACTGCAGGCAGGGATAAAAAGGCAGCAAAATAGTTCCATAATAATTTCACTGAAGGTGATGGGTTTTTGTTGCCCATAAAAAAATCTAAATTCTGCTTCCAATTTTGAGCCGGTTGTGTGATTTAGAAAGATATTTCTGTTGTGCTTGAAATATCAAAATATGAATTTCTCAGGCAGGTTATTTCACAGGAATGTTTTTCAGTTTGTTAGAAAATCTCTTTTTTCGTACAGCTGATTCAATGGAGAAGAGTAAAGGATCCAACGAATTGCCCAGTATTGGCATCGGGCAAGAATTATGTTCAATGGTAGTCTTAAGACACCAATTATTAGTAAAAAGGATGTTGCATAGTGCAGGCGCCCATCAGAGCTAGTGAAGAAGATTGTGGGTTTTGTGTGTGTGTGTGTGTGTGTGTGTGTGTGCGTGCGCGCAACGTCATGAATAATTAAAACAAATCTAGAAGAAGATTAGATCCTTCAATCTGTTGAATATGTTGAAGTATCTGTAGCCAAAAACTTTTTTTTTAATTTAACATTTAAAGGAGAACTATGAGGTCAGTGAAAATCACTCAGCCTCATAGTTCGAGCCGACGTGTGACAATGAAACTGTCGCACGTCGGCTCAATAGATCGGGAAGTGAGAGAACACATACCCTCGCTCCACTTCTCGATCATCTCCCTGCGGAGCGCAGTGACTGTCGGTCGCTGCTCCCCGCAAGGATTACCCCGCTCCTATCCTCCAGCGTCGACTGGAGGAACGGACGGGGAAGGGGGCGGGTACAGCTGACTCTGCCTCTAGATAGACAGAGCCAGATGTCAGTCACGCAGCTGGGTGGATCTCGACATTAATGTTGGGATCCGTCCCAGCTGTGGCGGTCTCAGTATACCGCGGGCTGTAGCTTGCGATTATACTGAGCTTTGGGTCATGGAAGGAGGTTAGTATATGTCCTCCCGTGACCCTTTAAGAGAACTATGGGAATAAACACTTACCCCATAGTTATCTTTTAACTCTCTGGGAGTTATTGTTTTGCTGTATGTGTCCAAATTAGATTTTTTTTTTTTCACTTTTCCGGAGGAAACATCACCGAAAGTAAGAGGGAATCTCGCCAAAGCAAAGGTAAGTCCTCACTTAGACAGTTGGGCCCAGAATGAGTGTCCCCATTTCCTCTCACTTTGTATTCCAGTGACAATCCTAAATTGGTCACCAAGACAAATATGGTAAATCTCCCCAAAGGGGCACAGAGGGCAATATAAACCTAACATTCTAAACGTTCCTTATTCTATAAAAAAATCAAAATTGGCTATAATTTTAGACTTATCCACTGCCTACATTTCTATCTGGTTAACTTGACCTTTTTGTTTCTTATTTCCTCAGAATTCAATTCGACATAATTTGTCCCTGCACAGCAGATTTATTCGAGTACAAAACGAGGGCACTGGAAAAAGCTCTTGGTGGATGATTAATCCAGAAGGAGGGAAAGGTGGGAAGGCACCTAGAAGACGTGCCGTGTCAATGGACAACAGCAACAAATACACTAAGAGCCGTGGAAGAGCAGCAAAGAAAAAAGCATCAATGCAGGTGACCCAGGATGCTGCAGATGATAGCCCATCGCAACTCAAATGGCCAGGAAGCCCAACATCGCGTAGCAGTGATGAGTTGGATGCTTGGACAGATTTCCGCTCCCGTACGAACTCGAACGCCAGCACGATAAGTGGTCGTTTATCTCCAATTCCAGCAACAACTGAGCTTGATGATGTTCAGGATGATGATTCACCTATTTCCCCAATGCTGTATAGCCCTGGCAGTATGTCTCCATCCATAACAAAACCATCCACAGTGGAGTTGCCTGGGATAACAGATATGACTGGAACCATGAACTTAAATGATGGTCTAACAGAGAATCTTATTGATGATTTTCTGGAGGACATTTCTCTTACGCCATCTCAGCAGTCATCTCCTAGTGTTGGTGGCATGCAGAGAAGTTCCAGCTTTACCTATGGCACTAAGGGCTCAAGCCTTGGCTCTCCATCCAGTAGCTTCAACAACACTAGTAGCTTCAATTTCCCATTGACGTCTCTTCGTCAGTCTCCAATGCAAACCATTCAAGAGAACAAACAAGCAACATTTTCTTCCATGAACCATTATAGCAACCAGTCCATTCAGGATATGCTGAATACTGATTCACTTAGCCATAGTGGCGTATTAATGACTCAGTCTGACCCCCTCATGTCCCAAGCCAGTACTGCAGTCACTGCTCAGAATTCTCGTAGAAACATTATTCTGAGGAGTGACCCAATGATGTCGTTTGCAGCCCAGCCCAATCAAGGGGGAAGCCTGGTTAATCAGAACTTGCTCCACCACCAGCACCAGTCCCATAACTCATTTCTTGGTGGCAGTCGTGCCTTGTCAAACAGCATAAATAACATTGGATTAAATGACAGCAACAACTTAGACTCGTCTAAACACCAGCAGCAGTCCTCAGTCACTCATTCTATGCAAGCCCTCTCAGACACACTCTCAGGACCCTTGTACTCCACAGGCATGAACCTTCCAGTGCATGAAAAGTTCCCAACTGATTTGGACCTGGAAATTTTCAGTGGGAGCTTGGAATGTGACATGGAGACTATCATTCGCAATGAACTAATGGATGCAGATGGGCTGGATTTTAACTTTGATTCTCTTATCTCTGCTCAGAATGTCAGTCTTGCAGTGGGAAATTTCACAGGTGCTAAGCAGACATCGTCACAGAGTTGGGTACCGGGTTGAAGAAGCGATGAAAGCATGAGTTTACCAGGTCAGTGTCCCCCCTAGAATAACTATACTAATAAAGTATAATAATGTTAACAAAGATGCATTGTAATAGAATTATTGCATGTTTATTAGTGTGCAATTCAAAAAAAACCTGTTCTACCTTACAGTTACAGCAGAATACGGTTAATTTGTGGTAAAATCCATAACCCTACATTGTACATACTTTGGCAATCTACGGATACCAAGACACTGTTTCGGTACAAAAAGCAAGTGGATTTTTCTTTTGGTTTTTTTGCTCAACAAAAGTGGATTTACAATTTTAAAGTGAAGAAACTAGCTTTGGCTTTGCACATATATGGGTGAGAAGTGCTGTATAAAAATAGAATATTCACCTGCAAAAATGCAATAAAGCAAAGGTTTACAGTAGGGATGCATCGTATCGGTGCCGATACTGGGCATTTTCCTGGGTACTTGTGAAAATACCCCGATATTAAACACCGATACTGGCGCTTTACATTTTGAAACTGAAGCAGCTGCCTGAGCTGGGGACCTCAGCAGTCTTCCTGTGAACCACACGGCACCTGTTTACAGTGCTGGCCTCACATCTCCTTCTTCTTCCTGGGGAACCATGCTGAGACCCCGCACAGTCCTCCTGAGATCCTCCACTAGAGACATCAGACCGGCGCCCCAGAGCTGTAAGAGTATGTAGCTTCATATTATTCTGCATTGCTGTGTAATGTAATGCCGATATTTGTAGTCCTCTATACCTGATGATATTCTGCATTGCTGAATAATGTATTGCTGGGATTTGTAGTCCTCTATAGCTGGAGCCATTCTGCATTGCTGTAAAATGTATTGCTGGGATTTGGAGTCAGTGGCAGAACTACCAGGATCACAGTGTTTGCAGCTGTGACTGGGCCCTGGCACAGCACCACTGTCCTAAAATCATTAGTCTGTATTGTTTTAGAAAAACTGTCACGACACTAAAAAAAAAGAATCCCGGTAATTGGTATCGGCGAGTACTTGAGGAACCGAGTCGGTACTCGGTCTGGAAAAAATGGTATTGGTGCATCCCTAGTTTACCGCTAGTAAATGGTGGGTGCAGATAATACCCACCATATGCATAAAAATATTAAAACTTAAATTTTTCTGTTCTGGAGAATAATCGGTTTGTCTCACCATGTTCTTTCCAGACTGATCCTTGAATGGGAAGGTCAGCTGTCATTAGAACAATAGAAGTGCACCAGGTAGTTATAATAAGGAAAGTTGCAGTGTCTGCATCCCTTTAGGAGTAGTTAACCCTTAGGCAGTATCTCCCTAAAATTGAAATTTCTATTGCAGGCGATGCCTGAAATTTTACCATAGTGCAGACTTGTGAGAAAATCTGTGAGCTAATCACAGAAGCAGGAAATTACATTTCTGGGGGCATTCTATATACTAACAGTGTACAGAAGGCCTCTGAGTTGCCATAGTGCATTACATTTTTTTTAACGCATTTAGAAAATGTAATGTGTATTTCCGCATTTGCAGTCAGACTAGAGAAAATCCCACTATATGTTACTTGTGTACACAGGATACCTACAACTAATAAA